TGGGGGCAATATGCTGACTCTGTAAACCGCTTAGAGAGGGCTGAAAGCCCTATGAAGCGGTATATAAGTCTAACTGCTATTGCTATTGCTAGCTTGTAAGCAGTATCCTGAATGACAGGAAGCGAGATTCCTATAATCTTCTCGTCTGTCCTTACCACTCTCTGAATGGACTTTTTATCTGAGGCACTGCTGCCATCAAACCAAACAGTGATGCAGTTTGTTAAAACACACTTAATCGTGCCTCTGTAAAAAGTGACCAGGACAGAAAAAGAAAAATGTGCTCTCCTCATCCGACGCAGGAAATGCAGACGCTGGTTTGCACACTTCACTAAGGATGACGTGTGGAGAAACCAGTTCAGATTGTTAGTTATTTGTACCCCCAGATACTTAATACTGTTGGCCACCTCTGTAGCTGCATCTTTGATACTGAGTGGAGTCTGACTATGCTGGCTCTTTCTAAAATCTACAATGATCTCCTTTGTTCTATTAACATTTAGAACCAGGTTACTTTTATTGCACCAGTCCCCCAGAGCCTTCACCCCTTTGACCCACCACTGCCATGTCCTCCACATACTTCACAATATGATTTGTAGTAGATTTGGCACAGCAGTCGTGGGTCATCAAAGTGAACAGTAGTGGACTCAAGACACAGCCCTGTGGGGAGCCTGTACTTAAAGAGAAACTTTTCTTCCAACTCGCACAAACTGAGGCCTATCAATAAGGAAATCAGGTATCCAGTTACATAAAGTAGTATTAAAACCTAATAGTTTATTCACCAAATGCTGACAAATGATTGTGTTGAACACCAAACTAAATCAACAACACAGTTGCTTTATCTTTTTTCACATTAAGGCCATAATGTGAAACATGATGCAATAACACAAATATCTTTTCTTTCCTTTTGATTAGGTTGCAAATGAGGATGTAGCAATAGATTGCCGACTTGGACTGAAAGAGGGACGGCCTTTCTCTGGAGTGACGGCATGCATGGATTTCTGTGCTCATGCACACAAGGACCAGCACAACCTTTACAATGGGTGCACGGTGGTAAGGGCTGCTTTCCTTTTCTTCAGTTCTGCCTGTGAAATATTCCAGAAGGGCCAAAAGTTTCTTAGAGTGTCCCAGGAAAGGTAATGAGCCTTAAACATTGAAAAACAAAGCTTTCACAAACCACTTCTCCTTCTCCTTCCAATTCAAGCCTTTGAAATATTGGATAACATGGATTCTAGTCTAGTGACACTTCTGCTATAATTACACTTCACTGCCATTTTCTAGTGAAAAATATAAATTTTGCCCTTTGCATTTGGAAACCACTTTAGTGCACCTAGTCAGAATGTATTTATACAAAATTGAAAGGTGGCTTTATACTACTAGGCTCAACTGGTTTTATGTGTGGTAGACAGTAGAAGGAAAATTCTTAGAGACTTGGGAAATGCCATTAAACCAGATATGTTAAGAGTGTAGACACAGCTTGAATTAATTTCAAATGTTGGTAGTGGTAGGCTAAAGGTACCATTCTGAGGGTGAAAGATAGGGAACTTTGCAACTGGACTGAAATCAGTTGCTATCACCCTGTGGTTTCTGGTAGGAAGCCAAATTGGGGCAATTCTAAATATGGCTAATAGTTACTTTGGCACATGTCAAGATGTAAGAGGCTTGTGGCTTCTCCCAGAGCTCTGTACATTGGTCATGCTGATTTGGAAACTGAGAGCTGAAATGCAGCTGAGGGCACTGAGGCTACAGACATTAAGGTGCCATTTCATTTTCAGTTGTTTTTGCTACTAAGGAATAACAAGTTTACAATTCTCAAAGTTCATAATATGTAAGTTGATATGACACAAACCATTAATCTTTCCAAAAAGGTTAGAGTAACAACTGACAGAAGAATTGCAAAAATCATAGAAATGTTAATGTATTAGAGAAGCCTTTTAGATATGGATGTATCTCTATCACATCTTTCCATCTTCCCATGGATGAGCTGGACTTGCAAAATCTTTTAGTTCTTCCTCATAGGAAGACCTATAAGATTTTGTTTTCCAGGCGACCTGCCATCCTGTTCGCTGCCATCTGTACATCCTCTACCACCAATTTAAAGTATGGTGCTCAGAATTCCCAAGTGTGATCTAATCAGAACTGAGTACAGTGGAATAATGATTGTACTTCTTGCAATTTGGATTAAAGTCTTCTGTCAGTGCAATCCACAAGTGTGTTAGGTTTTTTTAGCTGCTGTATCAAACAGCTTGCTTACATTCAGAGGGAGACTGTTGAATATAATATCCTCATTAGTAGTGTCACCAAGGCAGGTTTTCCCAGTTCTGAACAAGTGGTTCTTCCTACCCAGGCATTTCCATTTGTCTCCATCTGAAAATAAAATTATTTTGATTAGATCGGAAGTTACAAAAGTTTTAAAAACAGCTGCAGATGCCATCATCAGAGAAAATATTCATTCCCTTCAACTTCAGTGGCTGCAATAATATTCTACTCGTCAATCTCTCCCATCATGCTAGTTTGCAAACCATCAATTTAGAGTAGAAACCTCTGGTTTCAAGCAAAAAGAAGCCTTTTGTTGAATGGCCACAATTACCATTTTCATTCTCAGCAGAATTGTTGCTTGCCCCTTTGGCCAGGATAGGAAAAGGGTGGGCTTTTTGCAGGCAATAAGTGGTTTTCTGCTGTCCCCACAAAAACCCTGTATGTCGACTTCCCTCACCCCTCACTCTTGTTGATTAAGTCGTCCACCAGGAGACGTTGGGATGTTCACCCTTCTTTCTCTGGGATCTGTGAGTTTCTCAGACCTCGTAGCAACAGGAAAGAAGCCATGTTCAGCAGAGTCTCGGGCAAATATTTGTTCTTCCTTCCTTCCTCTCAGCGATCTTTATGCAGTTTGCTTCTTTTCCTTTTTCACGAGGGCATGCTCTTGATTTGAGTAAGTAGAAAGGTAGGCAAACGAGAAGGAACTCTTCTCCCAAAACCAAAATCAAAATATTGATTTTTCCATTTGCAGTAGCGGTAGGATTCCAGCAGTGCCAAGTAGAGGGAGCTCAGATTTCTGGAGGAAGAAAACCCATTTTCCTGTTTCTTCCCTGCATTTCCTTTGTAGAAATGTGTTTGTAAGCATGAGTACCTGCAGGAGTTTTGATTACCTGAGCGGGACATGGCTGATGTGCATTAATGGGGCTTGGGTAGGAGCATATGAGTAGCAACTCCTGCAACTTTCTCCTTGTTTGACCACAGGCCAGGATGTGGCGATCAGGCATTTTCTGACTATGCAGAGGAACTTTTTAGATCAGCCCTCTCCAGCTGGATGCTCTTTACATGCCACAGCTTCACCTTCCCTGCTCCTCCAGCCAAAGTGCTGGCTGGACATGACAAGCAAGAGCTGAGGCCCGGAAAGGCGGTTGCGGTGTTTTTGCATGTTGGGATTTCACGCATGGCTGACTGTTTTGCTTGCCTTTCCAGGTGTGTACCTTGACAAAAGAAGACAATCGCACCCCTGGGAAGATCCCTGAGGATGAGCAATTGCATGTTCTTCCCTTGTACAAAATGTCCACCACAGATGAGTTTGGCAGTGAGGAGAATCAAGCTGCAAAAATGGGCAGCGGGGCCATCCAGGTCCTCACCTCCTTCCCCAGAGAGGTGAGAAAGCTTCCTGAACCAGCAAAGTCTTGCAGGCAGAGGCAGCTGGAAGCCCGGAAGGCAGCTGCTGAAAAAAAGAAAATGCAGAAAGAGAAACTGATTACACCTGAAAAAATCAAGCAGGACGTCCTGGAGCTCCCAACCCTCCAACAGAATGCAGGTAAGGACAGCAGAGCTTTGTAACAGCCGGTCTTAGTAGCTGCAGAAAGGTTCAGCAAGCCAAGAAGGAAGCCTAGTCACAGGTCTGGCAGTGGTCAGACTGTCCAGGTAGTCCAAGCAGTGCCCTAGCAAGGCGTCTCGGGTGTCGTCCCAATGCTTGAAGGACCCACGTCAAGGCTTCTGTACTGAGAGCTCTTGCTTTCCATACAAGTCCGGTTGGAGTGACCGGCTTAATAAGGAACTGTGGCCTGCTCCCTGTCATTCTCATTGCATTTCCCCCAGCCATTTGTTATTGTTTAGCTTCCTAGCTTAGAAGTAGCTACATTCCTACTTCTGAAGAAGTTTGAGTTTGAGTTTGAGTTTTATTTCATTTATATGCNAATTTTGAGTAGTTCAGAGAACCGGCAAATACAACCTCTGGCTGGCCCCAGAGTGGGGAGGGAATGGGGATTTTGCAGTATCCTTCCCCTGCCACGCCCACCAAGCCATGCCTACAGAAGTGGTAATTAAAAAAATATGAATTTCACCACTGATCTGACCCACATTACTTACCATCAGCACAAGTAAACAATGTATACATATTTTAAGTCTATTTCAATTTAACCAAAGTGTGAAGGTCAAAACCAAACTATGATTTACATCTCAGTTTGAACTTGTATCCGATCAAGCTTTTTTTGATGCAAAATTAAACATTCTGATTTAACTGAAGTGGTTTCAAAATTCTAGTTTGCTTTCCAATTGTTTTTACTTTGAGTTTGCATTTTACATCATACCAAAAGATATGGACAAAGGCACTTACAGCTCTAATGATACAATTTTCAAAACTTCTAAAGCACAGGAAAGGAAATTCTATTGACTTGGGATATTCTCCTTTAATAAGAATTGGGTTTTTGCTTAACTTCTGTTCTTTGGGCAATCTTATCCCGTCTCTTTCAGCTTCTGGCTTCCTACTGCCATATTTTCCCCATTACTTGGAACAAGCAAGACAGCTTTAGGCTTCTTTAAAACTCCAACTTTTGGATCATTGCTATGTCACGTTTTCAATATAATACATTCTTGAATTCATTGCAGTAAACAGAATTACAGATTCATAAACCCCAAAATGTACATTTTGTAATAAAAAACATTTGAAGTTGGCAGTGCCAACGGAATGTAACTGTTAATTGTGCAAAAATCATGTTCAGACCTGTTGAGTATATATTATTTCTGATTTATTATATCTTATTTTTATTAGGAAACAAAATGTCTCAAGAGATTGATTGGAGCCCTTCCAGATAAGGCCAATGGCAGCTTGAGGTCATTGCCAGCTTCCAGCTATTTGTGTACTGGCATGAAAACAATTTCTTTCTTTATAATAATCCTCAGGGTTGCAAAACAGGCTCCTTTTAAAAAGATTAACTAAAACAAATGATACAAAATCTAAAACAGTTGAAAGCAAAACCTGCTATTAGAAACAGAAGAATACAAGAATCATTCAGGTTACCAGAACTGGGCTACACAAATCCCAGCCATTAAATTGTTTCTATATTCTATGCCCTGATCTACTAATTATCTGGATGTTTACAGCCCAGTTCTTGTAACTGTAACTGTAAATGTATTATTTGTTACTTGCTGATGCTAGTCCTTGGCCTCCATTTCATAGCTTTGATAGTCCATAGTGGACACTGGGACATTTTTGGTGTAATATCAGCATGATGTAGAGCCGAGGTGGTGCAGTGGTTAAATGCAGCACTGCAGGCTACTTCAGCTGACTGCAGTTCTGCAGTTCGGCNGTCATAAGTGTGAAAAATGGTCATGAGTTTTTTTTTCAGTGGTTGTAACTGTGAATGGTCAGTAAATGAATTTTTGTGAGCTGAGGTTACCTATGTTAACCTTATAGGAGAAATTCAGCGGAGAAATGGGAGCATCAGAAATTCTGGGGATTATAATTATTGTTTATTATATTGTTATGTGATCATGTAACGGAGAAGTTCTGAATCTGAATTTAAACACAACATCATGCACACATCCTCACACACACCTCAGAGCAATGATGAATAGGATTGCTCTGAGTTTATTATTCTACATGTTACACAAGTACTACGTCAGGAGAAGTTAACAAGAAAAAGATCTCAAACCTAGAATTCCTAAAAAAAAATGTAGACTTAAAAATATTTTAATAAGGAAAGAAATGAAAAACAGTACAAGACATTATTTCAGTTACAGGGGAAAAAAACTTTGAAGATCTAAACACACAGAAAGACACGTACAGAAGGTGAAAAGAAATAGAGGTTATCAAACATCTGGAATCATTCTTTCCATGCTCTACTCTGTGATGGATGATCCTAAACATTATTTTGCTAGCATGTGAAATGATATGATATTTGAAATGATGTGAACGATAGCTTTAGTCCAACAGGACTGGAAAGATAAGGTTTTTGCTTGTCAGTAGTACACTGAAAAATATATAAGTATGAGAAAGTTACTGGCTATGTGCTGTTATGGAGAAAATACATGATAAATAAGGAGAAATTTCCTGAACATTTAATCAGTGGAACAACTTGTCTCCAGAAGTTGTGAATGCTCCAGCACTGGAAGTTTTTAAGAAGAGATTAGATAACCATTTGTCTGAAGTGGTGAAGGGTTTCCTGCCTGAACAGAGGATTGGACTAGAAGACCTCCAAGGTCCCTTCCAACTCTGTTATTCTATTCTATTCTAAATAGGCCTCGGTTATGTCATTTTGTATAAATACAGAATTGAAGATAGTTGATGAATACAATTAAAGTTGTAGTATATGGTGGAGATGAAACATGTACGAGAATAAATAGGATGATTCAGCACTGAGCAAGAAGTAAGACAAAAATGTAGGGTGACCCAATATCATTTAATCTATTTAATGTATGGATGCATAAAGATTGCTTGTACTAACATTACATTTTTGTTGGTTAGCAACATGAAGTTACTTGCATTTTTATATTCAGGTGAATTCACGTCAGCAAACATACCTAACAGTCATTTTTTTCCTTCTCTTTTCCCCTCAGCAATAACCTGCTAAGGTGGGATGGGCTGAGAGAGAGTGATTGGCCCGCTTTCATGCCTAAAATAGGACTAGAATCCACAGACTTCTCGTTTCCATCCTGGTGCCTTAACATATTTAATTTTTGGCTTTCCATTTCATATTTATAGAGAGCCAATTTGGTTGCCATGGGTAAGGCCACTTCATTTCCACCCTAAGAAGGAGTCAATGGCAAAGCCATTTCTGGATCAACTTGACAATAAAATTACAGTTTGAGTTTGAGTTTTATTTCATTTATATGCCGCCCTTTTCCCTAAGGGGACTCAGGGCGGCTCACAACTCAAAAAGGGAAGGGGGGATACAAACAGTTTAACAAGAACACAAAACTATACATAGTTAAAAAGCACAACAATCATACCATTCGAGATAGGGGCAGCGGATCTTTAGCCCCAGGCCTGTCGGAACAGCCAGGTTTTAAGGGCTATGCGGAAGCCTGGAGGGTGGTGCGGGTTCGAATCTCCACGGGGAGTTCGTTTTAGAGGGTCGGAGCAGCCACAGAGAAGGCTCTCCTCCGGGTAGTCGCCAGTCGACACTGGCCGGCGGATGGAATTCGGAGGAGGCCTACTCTGTAGGATCTAATTGGTCTAGTGGAGGTAATTGGCAGTAGGCGGTCTCTCAAGTACAGGCAAATGCCAGGAGTTAAGATTGTGGCTGTTGCTTGGTGGGCAAGGCATGGCTTGGTGGGTGTTGCTTCGTGGGTGTGGCAGCGGAAGGCTATCATAAACTATCCATTCTCTCCCCACTCCAGGGGAAGGTTATTGCAAAATCTGCATTTCCACCCCACTCCAGGGGAGGGATGCTGTAAAATGTGCTTGTACCATTATTGCAGTGGTGAGATTCAAAAATGTTTACTATCGGTTCTGTGGGCGCGACTTGGTAGGCATGGCATGGTTGGTGGGCGTGGCTTGGTGGGCGTGGCAGGGAAAAGATACTGTAAAATCTCCATTCCCTCCCCACTCCAGGGGAAGGATACTGCAAAATCCCCATTTCCTTCCAATCAGCTGGGACTCGGGAGGCAGAGAATAGATGTGGGCGGGGCCAGTCAGAGGTGGTATTTACCGGTTTTCCAAACTACTCAAAATTTCTGCTATCGGTTCTCCAGAACTGCTCAGAATCTGCTGAATGCTACCTCTGGTAAGGACAGTGAGATACTGGTCTAATCTAGCTGAGAATCTTCTGTTAAGTCTAGCTAACGGTCAAATTAAGCCATTATATAACGAGTTTTCTGATTTACAGTTGAGTTTTGGTGCAGGAAACTCGACCTTGTGCTTCTAAGTACTGTAGATACTTACTGTTCAAAGAAGGAAGACCAGCCTGGAACAAATCCAGGCTCTCTTGTAAACCAGAGCAAAGCCATCAAGATGAAGAAGAATGCAGTCATCATCTCAGGATAGCTAGAAAGGAAATATTTATGTATATTTTAAAAGAGGCGTTTAAGATAGAATCCCACAACCCAATACTTTGTTGATTAGTTCCATTCAGAATGTAGAAGGTAGTTCCTCCATGTTGACTTCATCCATGCTGTTTCTTGGATCTTGGTCCACGGATATATAATTTCTCAATCTGGCACTTCCAAAAGTACTGAAACAGCAGTAGCCGGAACTTCCATCCAGCTATCATGTGTAGAAAGCATAGAAGTTCTAATATGTCTGGAAAGTGACAGATTGGTTCAGTGTAATACCATAAGTGTATTACGCTGTTCTCGTTTTATACTTGTTTTTTCTTTACTTCATTCTCGTTCCCTTTAGAATTACTGTATGGTACTTTTGATTCTGTTTGGTTTTGTTTGCACATTGTCCAGAAATGGTTCAGAGTTGGGTGGTGCCTAATTTGAACACATTTAAATTAAATTAAATTAATACAGATTCCAGGAATGGTGTAGCGGGCTCAAAGGCAAGATTTTAGGCAGACATATCAGCTTTACTTGCAAAGTAAACTGCTTATATTGCTGTTTATAGGTGATCCTTTATAAGCCAATTAAACTTATAATTTACAATTACCTAATTCTACCACTGGCTATAATAATTCTCAGCTACCACCACTCAGTGCAAGAAACCTGTTACAAAAAAATTTGCATGTGGACTATGAACATAAAATGAGGTAATTATTTTCAATAGCAAGAAAGCTACTCTCCAAATGAATAAGGTGTCAGGTTTCTGAAAGATGCCCTAATTGATTCATGAGCCTCGAACCAAGTTTCAAAAGAAAACCAGTCATTTATTAGGAGCACCATTTCGGCAATACCTATTGCAGTCAGATCTAAGCCTCATTTCAATTATAGCTGAACTTTATCACTGTTAAGGAACAGGTCCTCCCCTCAGTTTGTGTCATAAATCACATTCTCCAACTAGGTGCACCTCTCACAAGCCTGCTGTAGTAATCTGAGATCTGACTCTAGCCACAGGTATGTGTGGAATTTGCTCCCCCACTTTCCTCACCATGGCAACTTTATGAGTTTACATAAGGGTTTCATAATGTCTAGAAGTGGAATGGGTACCATTTTTCTTACCTAATATCTCCCAGCTTCTCGTATTCTTCTTGGATTCTCTTCTCAGACATTTCTTCCCTCTTAGTCTTCTTCTTCTTGCTTATTGAGCAGGTTTCTCTGAAACTGAAAATAAATAGGAGACGGGAAAAGAGAATGCAGTTAGAGCATGGAACTCCAGCAAGATTTGCAGCAAATCTATATTGGCTCTGACATCCACACCACGGGGAGAGTTGAATTAATGTCAGAAAAAAGTATTCAGTTTACCAACTGGGTTTGTTCCTCAGTACTCATAAAAAGGAACAGAAGGAGGTCCTTCTGTGTACATTTAGTTCATAAAGTATTTAAAATCCTTTGTGGATTTTTCCCTGAAATGAAATAGATTCATACCATAATTCATTTTGGAATTGGTGTTTCTAAGCACAACAACACAAGAAGAATTTTTCTGAATCAGATCACAGGAGTATATAAGTCAGCATATAAGCCAGCAATTGCACCCAGAGGTGCAATTCAGCAGGTTCTGACAAGTTCTGGAGAACCAGTANCGGAAGTTGTGAATGCTCCAACACTGGAAATTTTAAAGAGATTGGACAACCATTTGTCTGAAACTGTATAGGGTTTCCTGCCTAGGCAGGGGGTTGGACTAGAAGACCTCCAAGGTTCCTTCCAACTCTGTTATTCTATTCTATTCTAAAACCAATGTAACTGGAAGGTATCAGTTTAAGCAAATGTAGTCTAAGGTAATGGACAGGAAGGTTTCTGTCAGAGAAGGCTATGATGTTTGGGGCACTGACTGCTAATATTTAGATCTGGTGATTCAATTCAATTTATTGAAGTCATAGAGCAGTAGGTCAGAATTAAAACAGCTATCTGAAAGCTGCAGTTTCCTCATCCTTCTTTTTGCCCTTGGCATTCACAAGCTAATATTAATCAGAATATGTGTAATTCCTGGCCTGTGGCAAATTTTTAATTTGGTCTGTTGTCCAGCTAAACATCTACCCCAAGGAGACTATCTATCTGGGAAGTAACAGTATAATTGTGACCAACAATTGTGATGTGAATATGCAAACTCAGTTTTGGATACTGACACCAACTGAAATAAAACAATGTCAAACGTTGCTCCATATGTAAGCCTTCATACCTTTCGTCTTTTTCCAAAAACATGGCTTTTTCGCTGGAATCAAAAAGAGGAGAAAACCAAGGAAAACAGAGACGGTGGCATCTGTCCGATAGCCTTTCCTAGGAAAACCATGAAACAGTTTTACAACAGATGCTGGGTGTAATCAGCAGATAGATGAATTTTCTGATGCATGTCCTCTTTTCCCTTACTGGCTCCATGCACATGGCATTTATTTGACGAGTCATGGTTTCTTAAACAAGCCATGGCATCCTGGTTTTCACATAATTCCATGCTATAATGCCTGGATCCTCATTGGGCCACAACTGAGCCAAGCTATGTTTTAGCATGGAGTGCAAAGATTTGCAAGAACATTCTGTAATAATTACCGAGTCAGGCAATTTTATCTTGCATGGTACAGAAATTGTTTAAGGAACAAGAAAAACGGATAAGATAAGTGGAGGAATTATGATATTGTTCTGTATTATTTCCTCCACAACCAATGAGAAAGTGTGGATGGTGGCTTCCAGAAGCAGACCACAGATATTCAAAGAATATGTAGTAGTAGAGATGGTAATCAAGGGCTCAGTGGCTCAGTGGCTAAGATGCTGAGCTTGTCGATCAGAAAGGTCAGCAGTTCGGAGGTTCGAATCCCTAGCACCACGTGACCGAGTGAGCTCCCGTTACTTGTCCCAGCTTCTGCCAAC